TAAAGCTTCACTTCTCAAAACCGCCAGGAGGGGCCAGGATGGACGGTGGACCCAGAAAGAGCCGGCAAAGCCTGTCTGGGTGCTGCAGGGGGGACAGCGTCCTCCCCGTCACCTCACAAGGGCAGAAGCTGCCTCGTTCCTCGTCTCCGCTGCCTCTTCTGTGTCTCCAAACCTGGGGGGCCCCAGGCCTCAGAACAGGCGAAGGGGCTGGTAAACTGGGTGGGCAGCCCCCCACACACACCATGGCCGGGAAGGGAGTGGGCCTGAGTGTCTGAGGGAGAAGGCTCATTGGAAGCAGGGCTTCTCCGACATTTTTTAAATCCCCCCGCGAGGATGTCCTCATTGATTTTTAGGGAGGAAGGAGATGGGTGGGGGTGAGGGGAGAGACAGACAATAGCCCAAAATCCACAGTGCACAAGGGCTATGACTTCTTCGCTGCAGGAAGAAGGCTAGACCAAGGAGTACCTCTGATGCCAGTGCAGTGGCCTGCAGCCTTTGGAGGACCAGACTCGGGGGTGCCTGTTAGAAACACACCTGCCTGCCCGGCCTGTGCGGCTCGGTTGGTTGAGCGTCCTCCTAGGCACCAAGAGGTCGCTGGTTCTATTCCAGGTCAGGACACAAGCCTGGGATTCGGGCTTGATCCCCAGTGGGGGTGTGCAGGAGGCAGCTGGTCATCCATGTTTCTATCTCTCTTCCTCTCTCTCTCTCTCTCTCTCTCTCTCACACACACACACACACACACGCCCAGGGCCCACCCCAAACCCATGCACAGATCTGCTGGGGTGGGACCTGCGCACTCCTATTTGACCCGCACGGCCCTCCCTGTAGCTCGGAAAGACCAAAGCTAGACACCAACTAAGGCCTGGAGGGCCGGCTCCCAGACCCCGCCCCCCCCCCTCCCGGCCTCCAGCTGCAAAACCTAAGCAGGCTTGGCCCTATCTGTTCCCCGTTCCAGCAGGTGGCAGTGTCGGGGCGCAGGGACACACCGAACCGGCCTCAGCACGAGGCTGCGGAGAAAGAGCGCTCCGGCCCCGCACGCGTGGGAGCGGGGGGCTGTGGAGGGGGGGGCGCTGCCTGCACGAACCTTGGGCACCAGCGTCCTCCCCTTCTAGCAGCAGAAAGAGGGCGCGGGTGCATTAACTCATCGGCCGTGCCCTGAGCTCCCGCCGCCCTGCACCCCAGCGACGCGGGGGGAGCGGCCCCAGCGCCCCGGGTTGCCTGGAGCCGCCCGTGGGGAGCCCGTTCGTCCGAGAAGAGCGCGGCTACGAGCAGCTGCAACCACTTGCCCGCTTTTTCCCCCCGGTTCCCTCCGAGGCCCCGCCCTCCGTGGGAGGCCTTTCCGCCGATCACACAGATCCGCGCACTTGGCACCCGCGTGCGGCCTGGCCATCTGCTCCCGAGAGATCTGCGGCCCGGATTTCCCGGGGGCTTCACTGTCCCTGGGGGCGGCCGGGGGCCGGATGGGGATCCCACCGGCTTTGGAGGCTGCACTGATGCTCCAGGGACAGCAGGTGGCGCCCCGACCTCGGTGGCCGAGACGCGGAACCCCAGAGGAGCAGACTTTCCTAGAGAGAGGAGGTGTCCGGTGCCGAGAAGTACGATCAATATTTGATAAGGAAAAAGGTGTGCGTGTGACACGGGAAATCGCCTCCCGTTACACTCCGCCTGCCTCCGGGGCTGGGCTCCAGAGCTGGTGGAGGAAGCGGAGGGTGTCAGCTGGGAAGGCTGAACCTCTTGTGGCAGAAAGGGGCCCCCCCACCCAGGCACCCACGGAGAAGGGCAGAGCCCGGACCCCTGACCTGCCGGGCCCTCCGCCCACCCGGAGGCGCCCTCAGACCCAGGGCGGCCCTCCCCAAAGATGCGCCTCTGTGGGCACGTCCCTGCCTAAGGGACCATGTACAGGGTGCCCAGCCAACCAGGGGAGTATCCCCCATGCTGGAGTTTTACACCCCTCCTCCTGATTCTGCCATGGCTGCACACCACCCGGGTTATTTTATATATATATATCCTACATCATAAAAGGCCAGCGACCATAACGGCGTAAGGACCAGAACAACCAATCGACCAGTCACTATGAGGTGCATTGACCACCTTTCAGTCCCTACCCCGGCCCACAGGCTCCGATCACTGGATGGCCCACGGGGAACCATGGAGAACCCGGGTGGGTGGTGGTGGGGCGGGACTGGGGACTGGCAAGTGGGCGGAAGGCAGACCTCTTGGTCCCTCCCCCTGGCCCACAGGCTCCCATCGCTGGATGGCAATCCGGGAACCACGGGGAACCAGGGTGGATGTTGGCGGTGGGCAGGACTGGGGACTGGCAAACGGGCGGAAGATGGCCCTGATCGCAGGCTAGGCCTAGGGACCCTACTGCGCACAATTTCGTGTGCTGAGCCTCTAATATATATACTAGAGGCCCGGTGCATGAAATTTGTGAACAGGTGGGGTCCCTACACCTGGCCGGCAATCAGGGCCGATCAGGTTTTCCGCCTCCCTGCATCCTCCTTCCCTTGCTGCCCGCGTCTGCCGCCACCCACCCCCAGTCCCCTGTCCCAGCCCAGGTCCGCCAGATCGGTGATCAAGACCTGCTGCTTGGGGAGGGACAGGAGTTAGTCAGCAGCCCCATCAGCAATCGTGG